GCGTGGCGCAGTGTTTAGGTAAGCCCGAGCCTCGGCCCCGTGCGCACGCTCAGATCCCAGGTGTCTCCCGCACCGCAACCGGTGTGTCGCTATCACAATACAGCACTGCCAGAAAGCCTTTCGTGAAGTTTTGAGAAGAGTTTAACTTTTTAGGCGTGCTACAAGGCAACTTCTAGGGAATCGTTCAATGTGATCCAACAACAGATGGTTAGACGAAGCTATACACGTCTGATATACTTTCGTGACGCAACACAACAATTGAATGAAGCAAATGACATTGACCTGAGGTCAGGTATTAAGGTCAGACCAAGGTAAAAATCATCCTGTTTTATTACGCTAGGGCTTGTTGTATGGGGTAGTTCCTGGTGCTCATTTCGAATATAATAACAAAAGGAACTGCATTATACACCTTCCTTAGACTTCTTAAAGGTCAGAATAGGTCACTGACCGATAATTACTCAGGCCAACACTTTTGTTTTTAGGAGCATACCTGCCTAGCGTAATCTTTGTTGCTTATCCAAATGCAAAACTCAAAGCGGTCTTGTATGATTTTGGTCGCCATGACCTTCAAAAGGTCAGACGAGCTCACTGACCTTGGATGAGCATGTGAGGTTTTGCTTGGAACAGTTAGCTAGGTTCCCAAGAGTCCTTTGGAGACCAACCTGGAATTTGACCTTGTTTGACCCTCTTTGATCCGAAGGTCATGACCAAGGAACCTCATACCTCAACCTAAGTGAGTTCACGTTTAGGTCAACACACCCTGTAAATTTGGTGTCTCTAGCTCTCTTCGCTTCTGGGATCTCAGGGGGGTGGGGGTCAAATTGACCCTCCACCCAAGCGAAGGGTATCCAACCGGCCACCCGAGCGCGCGGTTAAACCATAGAAATCTTGCAACCCATTATGAGCAAAGGACGAGGTGACAGTAACTATTGCCACAAGGGTCGCTTTGTGAAGAATGTGGAATTTTGGTTATTTGTTTGTACACATTTTTGGCAGCCTCCTCCTACCTACGAGAATCCTCTGCTCTCGATCACGAATTCTTACCCAAATGGCGTATTCTTAAAGCAAACATTTATCGGTGCATTTTTTGCCGGTATGTCTTAGTTTGTTCAATATGCATTATCGCTTTGTTATAACGCCGTCGTGGGTTTTCTAATTGCTGGCTTGTAATGCATAATCCTAGTGCCTTATGTCAGGAGGCATCAGTAATAGTACGTCAGCGCTCCTTTCATAATGTTCCCTATCCTGTGCTGCACGCAGGTGATGATGCTGATTGTGAGGAAGAAGAAATGATATCTCCAGCAGAAATAGAAGAATGGAACGGGAAATTCAGGGTTCTGCTGGACATTCCAAGGTGAAACCGCGTGCCACACCGTACAATGCAACTATCCGTGGTCTGGACGTCCAAAGATGGGCACCACTGCGCAGCAGAGAACGCGCTTAACTCGTGATACCGCGGCACGGAGATGGGGTTCCAGTTCATACGCTTGTGCGGTTCGACCGATGCGCAATAGACGCAATAGACCGCGGACGGGTTGTCGGAGGGTCAAACCGGATGAGTTAGCCGTGTCGCACGTAGAACGTGAGGCACGGCGGTATAGCTGAGTAATCCTATGACCCTGCACGGCTAATCACCATGTTCAATCAGCGCTTGACCGAACTATTCGGCTTTTTTATTCGGCCATGAAAATCATGCTTCAGTTTGACACATGCTGCTTATTTTTGAAGAGGGCGTCAAACTCAGCAGGTGGAAACACGTTCGCGCCGGAAGGGAATGAGAACCGCAGAAGCCTGCTACGTCACTGCGGGGTTCACAGTGACCCTGGCATCATGGGGCGGGGGGGGGTGAATTACACCGTATTCAGGCTTGCGCCTGTTGGGCGATTGAATGTCGTGTTGACCCCTTTTGATAATGAACCTTTCGCGCACCGCGGGTAGAATAAGCAGTAATACAGGACAGACAACGAGAGGTGGAAATTTGCGACACACCGTAATGAGGTTGTTAACCACAGGTTTGAACAAAAACGTCACGTCTTGTGGCTTGAGCGGACCTCATGAACTCCCTCACCGACTTGTGAAGGGTTATATGCAGAATAAGGTAAAGTCATTACCGTGACGTCACTGAACGCTATCCGACTGACAGACCACTCGTCTAGTGCAAAGACGAAATGGAACGTTTCAAACAAGAGCTTGGAACTCTGAAAACATAGTGTACTGTGCGCACGCCCGTAAAATGGTTGGGACCGTGATGACTTAAAATATGCACAGCAGTGGAGCATGCGTGCATTCTTTCTCTCCGTCTTACTCGTTCTCTCCTCTTTACGTGAGTAACGCCGGCGTTCCGCTCAGGTTGTAGTTGGTACCTCTGAATTTTCGAAAGTTCCATTTTTGAAGATATTGAGACAAGTATCAGATGTGTTGAAAGAAGCTCACTCATGCCAATGGCTTGCTTTTACGTACGAAATACTTCTAGATAACAAAATTACATTGTTTTGTAAATACATCCCTCAATGCGATTACGTTATGGGACGTTTCTATGACGTGAGAGCCGATGCTACTGCAGTGAACGGGCTGACTCACTTGTAGTACTTCAACGCACCGAAAGGTGGCATGTTAACTTGTGGGCGCGTGATATACGCGACGATCGTTATACGCGCCAGTTTTGGCCTTTTCCCGCGGCGTTCTGGTATGTCTGTCCGCTATTTATTTTTGTATTTTTGCTTTCCTTCGCATTATCGGTTCCGGCTTCATTCTTATGGTACAATATTCCCAGCATCGTATCCGTTATATGTAGTAGAGCTGTCCATTTACCTTCATTAGGTATTACAAATCCCGGTTCGCAATCGAGACTTGCAGTTATGCGTTAAGGTGGTGAAAGCCAGCTTCTGTTCGTCGAGGGAATGATCTTTGAAATGTCCATCTCAGTTCCAAAACCGATGCACATGTGGAGGAGTCCCTTTAAAGGGAGCAGTTACATTTGAATGGGATTTTGAACGGGAATGGCCATTTTGAAGATCATTCAGTGCTGTTCACAGCACTACCCTTCTTAAGGCCAAACCCTTCTAGTTTCTGATCTATGCGCCCACGAAAATGTGCAGACTTTTTCGCGGAGCTCATTTTAACGTCACCCAGGAGCCATGACGCCCCATTAACGTCATTTAAATCCTGTTATTCCGTTAGCCATGCGGCGATCAAGGTCAAGAAAAATGGTCAAGGTTATGAAAAACTATTCGTTCATACATGACGTTCGTGAGCACCATTTCCAGATAAAAATGGCCGTCAATTGGCTCTCAATCATTGTGACAGGTACGATGATGTATTCAAACAGCGAAGTGATGAGGAGCGTATTTGCTCAACAACAGAGAAATTATGTTGTATAGAGGAGCCTTTTCGACTTAAATGGGTACCAACAGGTATAAAGTGGGCACTTTTCATCATATCTGATGTTTGGTTTATTATCTTAAGATGTGGGACGTTCCCTTTAAAAGGAGTGTTCCACATCTGAAGATACTGAAGCATCAGTTATAATCAAAGAGGCTATGTGTAGATATTCGGGTGCATTAAAGTACAAAAGACTGCTTGAGACAGCACAGCTTTACTTATTAGTAGATAAGCTCCTCAACAATTCATTGAATGACTACGTTGAGACGTGTAATAGTATCAGGGTCGCTGGCAGATGGCCGTGTCAGAATTGCCACTAGCGGATGGTATGACTCAGTTGTAGTGCCTCAACCTGCCGAGAGGCGGCTTACTAAATAGCGCGTGTTCGCGGAACCGGAATATCGTGCTGTGCGCGTGTTTTGGCCCTTTTTAGTGGCGCTGTATACTTTCAGTGATCACATATTAATCATTTGCACCGCCATCCTCTTTTACCGCGCTATTCTTAAGTCAGTCGATTTGTAGTCTCACTTACACCAAATCTCGTACCACTGCCCAAAGTCCTGTATTACCTAGCACAAAACGTGATTTGTGTTCGACACTTACACCCAACGCTTCAAAATAATAAAAGGTGAACTAATGGCCGTTGATGTCACGAATCGTGCTGACGTACGCCAGGCGCGGGTAATTCGATGATCCCATTTTATTTGGTCCTGAGCACCACATGGCAAATGAGGCGGCGGCATTTGCGTGAAGTTTCTATTGCGCGCCGATTAGGTGACCTTGAAATAGTCTGCACTGTCTTCCTAAGGTCGCGAACGTCAAGCTCAGAAACAAGGGTGCTTTAAGTCTTAAAAAGGTCATGTCTGCGAACTGTACTTAATAACCCTTGAGTGGGCCGTCTCGGTTTAAAACCCCATAAAATGTGAAGCGCTTCCTTCGAGGCGGCTGGGATGGAGGCCCTCGAATTTTCTGGTTGACGTGTGTGCTGCTCCGCGTTTCTGGCATTCATATTTGGATGCTGTTACGACAGACTGTAAAGCATGATGGTGATTGTCTAAGAATACCAAACATGAGGCTGAAAATCACTGTGTGTTAATAAAGTCTGAAAAGGTTGACTGGTAATCAACACCATTTCCATACCATTCACACGAAATGCCCTGAGTTGGATCAGCTAATCCATATAATTTACGTGTAGGTTGGATGTGTTATGACGTCATGTGATATAGCCTCATGTCGTCTCACGTGAGACGCCAATGCGGAGATACGGACAACATATCTGACGAAACACCCTGGCTGCAGTGCACTGTACGGAAGCATTATCGGCAGACGAGGAAACTCGTTGCACCAAGTTCAAGATAACACGGGATGTAGGGTGACTGTACCACGTGGGGCGAAGTCCAAGGTGTCAGAGGTTGGTAAGTTTCGAAGGCCTAGTCTTCTTGGTGGTAGGTTATGGATTCATTAGCTTTGACCGTAAATGAATGATGACGTGACCTATCGTGCCATACATTTGGTCATACCTGGCGTGCGATGCCAGTAATCGAGATGAATATTTTGTCTGTTAGAATGAAAGATTCCTTGGAATCTAGGTAGATGCTGAAGGTTTGAGGAGGCTATTAATGCCATGTGGTAGGCTCTTAGTGCCCATCTACCAAAAGGTGTCTGGTGACGTATGACTCACGTGGGACCCAGACACGAACATGCCGATGATGATGGCATGGTCCCCGAAGCATGCGACGATGACATGGCTCACTTCGTTGTATACACGTGCGCGCGCCTTGTTCGTCTCATCCGCCACTCGCTCCGACTCTGCGTGGCAGCGGGCGCCGCTGTGTACCCGCCGCCGGGACGGGCTCGTCCCGGCAGTGTCCCCACTCTCAGGCCTCGCCTCCCTGCAGAGGTGGTCGGAGAGCAGCGCCGCCGGGTGGTGCGCGCCTGCAACATGCTGACGATGGCGGCGGAGCGCGGCCGCCAGCGGCTCGCGCCCTCGCACTTCGTGGCTGTCCGACTGGCCACCCAGCACGTGCAGAACCGGCTGGAGACGTTCAAGGTGGGCAGCAGCACTGACCGGTGACCCGCCGTGCCGTCGGCGCCCCGCACCAGCCAGCGGCTGGTGCGGAGCCCAGCACCACGCTGCCGGCTCTGACCGCGCCCTCCTGCTCCGTGCTGTGGCTGCGCCGATCAGAGGGAGATCAAGATGTGAATGATGATGCATATCTGCTTCCGTCCGCATGACGCAAGCATTTATAAATGTGGCGAACTTTCCCCACTTCCCAACACTGATGTGCCTCATAACTCGATGCAGGCCATGTCTCTTACCTGAGATACCTTTCTGGACATGAAAACTATATTGCTCTCAATGAGTTTTAAATGTTCATGTGCACTTCTAATGTTGCATTCTGGTAGTGTCATGCCTACGATTCTATATGGCTTCCCCGATGCCATACGACGAAATGAGGCGTTGCTGGATGTGCGCGAAGTTGAACGTTTACGCCCAGTGTGTTGGCCGCGGCCGCAGTTATCCGGCGGTCTCCGTCCGTCCCGACCACTGACGCCGCCGGCGTCGCGGCTCCGCCAGGTGGAGGCGCTGCGGGTGGGCGGCGGCTCGCGGGGCGTCGCGCCGGCGCTGTTCCAGGACGGCTGCCGGCTCCACCTGACGCTGGCCCTGCTGACGCTGCTGAGCGAGCCGGAGCGGCGCCGCCTCTGTCAGACGCTCCAGCAGCACGCCGATCAGCTGCGGTACGCCCGGAGCGTGAGCGCGCCCCGGCGGCGGGTGCAGGTCGGCCCGCGCCTGCCGCCGAGGCGCCGCGCCGGCGCGCCGGCGAATCGCGTTTTAACCCCGCCAGCCGCTGACCGATCGTCTGCACTGGGGGAGAGTCGATGATGAGAGGGGTTGTTACCGACGCCGGTTTGGAGAGCCTCGCCAGTTGACCGCTGCGAGCGTGGCTTGTGATGTCCGCCGGCCAAGGGAACGTCGTCACTTGATCCCACGAAAGGCAACTCCGATCAGCGCGTCATCGCGGCTGACAGCCTGGCAGAGTTGACCCAGAGGAGCCTGGACCACAAGCAGCCGTGGGGCGAGGTGCGCCCGACGCGCGCGCTGGCGACGCGACCGCGTGCCGCGGGCTGACCGGGCTCCGACCTGTCGGCAGGAGTCTACTGGCGCCATCCGGGCTCTCGCTGCGCGTGCGGGGGCTGGACATCATGAATGACGACCCGGGGGAGACTCGCGTGGTGTTCGCGCGCGTCCAGGACGCGGACGGGGGCGACGGGATGCAGCGACTGGCCGACCGCTGCAGGGAGCTGGCCGTAAGCACAGGTGAGGCACCGCGACAGCGTCCCAGGCTCACAACGATACATGTTCTAAGAACGTTTCATCCATTGGTGATTGCGACGCGTATTGGAGCTCATTGAATGGAAAATGCGTTTCTGCTGCAAACAAATAAGGAGGCTAATGGGTGCATATATGGACCAGATGACGCTGAGAACACAAATTCTGTTGTTTTTAGAGCGGACTTGCAGTGGGTTTTTAGCTCCACACACGTGGCTGGTATTAATATTGACGCGCTATCCTATGTTTTGAGCTAGATGTGATGGCTGTATTGTATAACAGCGAAAAGTGATGGGGATAACGATGATCAATATCGAGAAGATCGATATAGAGAGATAATTTAACAACGCTCTGTTGCGTTACTGACATGCAACAACACCAAAATATCTCTATGCCGGCTTATGCGTATCAATCGTGGGCGAGAACAATAACTAGATGCAGTTTCTAATATAGCACCGATCGTTTGAAATGATTCGTGCTGATCGATTTCGCGTTTTTTCAGAGCACATGGCGTCTTTTGTAACCTTTGGGCTCATTGAAACATGCGAATCTTTACGAGATGAAGTGTGTCGGCCGTGTTTTGTGCAGAATACTGTCAGTCGTTACTACAATCCCCAGTTGTCCTTTGCCATCGTTGCTGGCTGCCCTGAGTTCTCCGGATTTTGCCCATACCACGTATCACTGTTCTGTCCTCCCCGTCTGTACCCGCACCGCGGGGCCCCACCAGCTCCACGGACGGCTGTCGTGCACGCGACGGAGCCCAGCAAACCCGAGTTTGTGCTGGCGCCCAGCGCTGGCCTCCACCCAGCGCTGGCGTCTACCCAGCGCTGGCGTCTACCCAGCGCTGGCCTGTACCCAGCGCTGGCCTCCGGCGAGCGATGGCGCTATCAGGGCGCCGGCGGGCTCCCGCGCGGTCGACGCGTTCTCGTCCGGCGCCGTGACGGCCGCGGCTCGTCTGTCGACAGGCCTAGGTAAAAACGAGGACTACGACAGGGTGAAGCTACACTGCACCCTGATGAACGTCAGCTTCCTGGTGCGGCATGTGGACGAGTCGGACCCGGAGTACGCCAAGCTGCGCAAGGCCACGTTCGACGCCAGAGCGATACTGGAGGTGAGGGTCACGCGCACCGCGCACGTGCATGTGGTGCCGCAGGCCGTGTGTGCTCGGGATGTCTGAAACGCCTCACGTTGGTGTTAGTGACGGCGGGTATCGAGGTGTGATGTGTGCGGTATGCAGTGTTTTTCCTGTTGCACAGCGATGTCTGCTCGGGCTAGCACACCAGGCACTGTTGAAAAGATGCGTGGGTCGTGTGATTGTCCACACGAATGAAAAAAGCACGCCGTTTTGGGTGCGGTCGGGCAGCTAGATGTCACTTGTTTCTCAAGGAGCGTTTACCGGTTACGGTCCATGTAGCACCAACTGCGTTCACCACTTGGCTGGATAGCTATAGGCGACAGATAGCGTGTGGTGGTCCTCGCATTGTCACGTGAATCGCAGATTGTTACGGGTAGTCTACGGAACGAGCTAGACAATTCAGCCTGAATGCGTGACTAACGTTTCCTCGCCCTAATTGTCCCACCCCTCGCGTTGAAAAGTGCCGTACCGTGCCGTAGGTGGCCTTTGCCGCCTACGTTACTTTCCTTCTCCGCCCGGCCAGATCGATCTGGTATCGTACTCTGGCCGTCCTGGCTGCCGTGCTCGTGGGGTCGGGTGTAAGGGCCGTGGGTCGGTCCGCCCTCCTCTGGGACGTGAAACGACGGCAAACGTCACGTCCGCACCCGCCCGCTCCTCCACCGCCCTTCTGCGGGGGGACATGGTCGTGACCCCACCTCCGGTGCTTTCCAGGAGCTGGGTCACTTTGACTTCGGCACGGTGCGCGTGGACAGCCTAGAGGTCGTGCAGCGCCACTCGACCGGCGAGGACGGGTTCTACCTGCCTATCGGCGCTATCAAACTCGCCGCTGGCTGACCCAACGCGGCCGCCCAGCCGTGCTGACGCGCGGCACGGCTGACGCGGGCGTACCGTGTGGGACGCGCGTGCTCGCCGGTCATGCAACGTCTGGCGCAGGTGCGCCATGTTTGACGCCCCTTAATGTGATTTTGACGGGGTTGGACTTGATTTCTAACGCAGTTGTGCGAGGTTTGGTACAGGGGGACGGCGGCCGATTTTGGCGCCGATAGCGGATCTGACGTGCCGTCTGCGCGGATTGTGCAGAAGATGCGTGCGTGCGCAGAAAAGCATGCGCATAAGCCGCTTACAGCGACACACAGGAAGTGCGTTGGTTTTCAATGTTGCTTAGGCGTATTGGGATAAATGGACGGTTTCCCAGTTTCACTGTAACTAAGCACACTGCCAATGAGGAGGTCGTCTTCATGGATCAATACATTGAATATGGCGTCCAGGTTCGGGCGTGCTGTTCAGTGTAAAAAGACCGTATCATGTGTACCTGCCGTCTTTGGCCTGCGTCAAACAGCGGTGGTGCCAGCTATCTGTCACTCACTATCACTACACTATCACTCTGCCCCCTCCAGCTGTCTACCTCCAGACACTGCCTCTTCCAACTGTCTGCCTCCGCACCGCCTCTGTGTGTGTGTGGGGGGGGGGGGGGGGTACCTCTGTGCCGCTTTGTCGGGGGGCGGCGTGTGCCGCTGCCGGCCGCCGCTGGATGTTTAGCGCCGCCGGCTGCTGCCGTCACGCCCTCCCACAAGAGCGAATTTATAAAGAGCCCAGTGGTCAGCATACGAGCCGGATGATGTTAACTCACGACTCGGCACGCTGTAATTCCGGTACAACCGACATCAACGTACACTCATGTGAACCACAGAGCTAGGATGAAGCGGGTGACCGGGGCACTGGCGGAATGGTAGGTCCGGTCAGGCACCATCAACGGCTGTCTCCCTGCACGTAGCTGTGCGCCCTTAACCAAAGTACCCCACCCCCACCTTTTTAGCTTAGGATAATATTTAAGCGCGGCAAAAACGGAACCGGATGCACTGATAATATAGCCAAGTGGCCGGGGCCCCGCGCACTGGCGAATTATATTGGCAAGGGCCCATTGGATAGCAACCCTAGGAGCCCCCCCCCCCCCCGCCCACCCGGCCTTAACTAATCCACGCAGACTCCACGCACTCGGTGCGCCCCACCACACTCAATCCAAGCATATGCACTGGCGCCCACGTCACCCCACCCATCCTAGGCTCGCACACGGCTGCGACCCTCCCTCTCCCCCTTCCAGTGCCTTGTCATTTTAATTGGCTCGTGTGTGTGGGTCCCCTTTAAGTTAAATTAAACTTATTTATCACATTTCAAACCTTTGATAGGGACACTTTTAAACCCTTTTTAAAATACATCATAAGCTAAAAAGGGTAGGGGTGGGGTCCCTTGGTTAAGGGCGCACAGCCATGTACGGGGAGACAACCGTTCATCGTGCCTGATCAGACCTACCATCCCACCAATGCCTGGGGCACCCGCTTCATCCCACCTCTGTAGCTCACATGAGCGTGTGTTGACGTCGGGTGTACCGGAGTTGCAACGCGCCAGCAACGCAAGTCGTGCGTTAACATCATCTGGTTCGTATACTGACCAACGGGCTCCTCTCCATACATTCGCTCTCGTGGGGAGGCGTGACGGCAGCAGCCGACGGCGCATGACAACCAGCAGCGGCCCGGCAACATCGCAGCGCACGCCGCCCACCGCAGCAACCCCCCCACCCCTCCCCACACACACACAGAACTGGCGCCCGAGCGTGGGGCTTTCATTGACAGCATTACGAAGCCGCAATCCCACAAACAGACCCACGTCGCCGAACCCAGGAGCAAGACGACGAGCGAGAGGCGCCTAAAGGTGGATAAAAACGGGGCTGCCCGCTAACAAGACTCATGTCTTCCAGATGGAAAAATTCGTCTTTCACGCCGTGGACGAATATGCCGGGACGCAAAACATCACCGAATGGACCAGACAGCTGGAGCGGATAGCGACTTCGCGAGCTGAGGAGAAGATACTATGTTGAAGGTGGCTTTAAACAGGCTTAATGGAGATGCAAGCGAATTCGTGGATCACATGCGAGAGGAGGAGAAAGTGAAGACCTGGTCATCACTCAAGCGTACCCGGAAGGAGATACCAGACGGCCGGCCGGAAACAGGGAACTAGTTCTTACTCCACACTGGTCAGCAAGAGGGCAAAACTGTGCACGAATGGGCTGAAGTAGTGAGGAGGTTATCGCTTCCTTCCCTAAGCCCAAAAGACAAACGCTTAGGATTGGGATGCGGGCCGCCCAGCGGCACAGGAAGTGACGGTCAGGAAGGACACGGCGACAGCCTGGCACAGACCGCAGGACAACGAAACCCATTGCCGGACTACATCAGGCGCATCACCTTCGTGCGAGGACTGCGCCCCACCCTGCCTCAGATGGTCTAGTGTGAGCGATGTGCAACGTTTGGTGCAGTGGTGGCAGTCGCGGCAGACGAAGAGGCGCTGGAAGCGACGCAAAGAAAAGAAAAGGTCCTAAGTACGTTATGGGTAGACCGAGAGCCGTAAATCTAATCGAGACCCTCGTCTCCACTGTGGAAACCCGAGGCCGAAGAAGAAAGAGGACGGAGGCATCACCGATGGAAGGACGGAGCAGCCAACGCGACAAGGAAGAGGACAAGTAACATCGGGTCCGAGAAGGAACACTGAGATGCAGCGGCCATCAAGGCGCGAAGGCGACTTATCCGTACCAGGAGCAGATGCCGTTGCCCCGCGGGCGAAGAGAGGCGTGCCGGTCTGAGGGAGCGTACCATGGCGGCCACGCCGGAAGGGGCAGACGGACAAAGTCTGTGCATTGGCGCTCGCACCTGGAGCACGACAGGGACGAAGAATGGCGACTGAGCCAGGGTAGGTGGAACGAGAAAGAAATGCAAGATTTCAGGGAGGGAAACTGTTTCTTCTGCCGCCGGCCCGGACACTGCGCCCGCCACTGCCCCGAGAAGTCCCCTCGGAGGGGAAACGGGAGGAGTCGACTGCATTAGGGGGCCAGCTGACGAGCGGTAACGAAAGGGTCTCACATGTGGCAATGAGATATCAAGATCGGGCTGATCAGAACGTTCGGCGTCGCGACGGCTTGCCGGTCCTGCAGAGCGGCGAGGTCTTCTTTGTCAAGCAGGACCGACTGGGCGAACCAGACGAAGCTGGGAGATGAAGAGACCCGGAAGAGGTGTGGGCAGATTAGAATATCATCCGGACGGGGACGGGAAGCGTCGTTAGACTCAGCGTAAAGAGAGTCGAGAGGCGGGGCAAGAGTGGAGCACCTTCCCGGATTCAGCCAGCCCATGGGGCCTCTACCGAGAGCTGACCACTTCGGTGGTCCCATTGGCAGACGGATGGGAGATGCACGTTAAACTTCCGCTACTTCAGACAGATCGCGGTCAGTTCTACCTTCATCGTGTCCTCCTTCCTTCCTGGATTGCGAGCCGCTCTTCAGCCGTCCTGACCGAGATCCAAGCGGAATTTTTCGCCACATCACCCGATCGGAGACTTCACGTGGAGCTGACCGGGGAGGAGATGAGGAAGTGCAGGAAGACAATGTCACTTACGATAGGCGAGGGGGCTACACCGGTCATCAAGTCAAACGGCGAAGGGTTCGCGTATCACCCCTTTCGAGGCGACGTGGACGACGTTCGGAGATCATGCACCCAGAGGATGATCCTGCTTCGAGCTTCCCTTCGAAGCGTCGGTCCAGATCGCTGGGCGTACGCGTTGCCCCCAGACAGAGACTTTCGCGCTCCGATGCGGGAAAGGATCTGGTGCGCCATCGTCTGGCTTCCACCTGCAGGGGGCCGGAATATTCATACTACCGTCGGCCTGTGCAGCGGTAAGCAACAACTTCGTGGTCCCAGCACGCCTGCGAGGGGGGTCAGCCGTCGTGAAGAACACGTCAATTGACGACATGCAGGTGTTCAACGCCACCGCGAGCCTGCAGGACCTGCTTTCGCGAGCTGACGCCAGCCGTCTTCCGCTGAGGTCTACGCTGTTGGGAACACTCACAGAAGTATCGGACGAGGCCGTTCTCAACGGGACTCTGGCGCACATCTCCGAGGAGGAGAGAGGAAGGCTGCTAGCGAACGGCGACCGCGACCAGGATGGCTGGCAAACCATCATCACCGAACATGGGCCACCAACGCTCGGGTCCGTGGGGATTGTGGGCTTGTTGCTGGTGACCGTTTTCCCCTGCGGCCGCAGGAGATACCGACGGGATCCGCGGGGCGGGAAGGGGGGGGGGGGGCGACCGCCTTACGATCGGCCCAGGAGGACTGCACGACGAGTCTCGAGGAGGTCATGAACAAAGTACCGAGACTGTAAGAGAAGCGGAGCCGCCAGGGACGCGAGTTGGAAAACCTCAGAAAGATGATCTAACGGCAATGACACCTCGCCGCGCCTCGGCGGAGCAGGATCACGGCAATCTGAGGACAGTTGAATGGCGAGAAAGAGGCCGGACCAAGCCGGCAGTGCCGGAGGAACAACTAAGGACCCGAACGGAAGAGCGAGGAGGCGAGGTGGTCGACGGGGTCATCCCGGGTCAGCAGAACGCGAGACACGACGTGGGAGACGATGGAGGTAAAGAGGTAAGTGTAGCGTGGCGCACACATGTTTTAGTTTAAGCGACGACGTGAGAGGACTCGACGGCGGAGCGTACGCACTAACACAATGCATCGCTCGCGCACGTGGTGCCGGTTGCCCGCGCTGTACATAGCGGTGGCGTGCGGTTGTCTGCGGTGCAGTGTTCAGGTCCATGAGAGTCTGCGGTGTGCATAGGGAGGCTTCCCCGTTAGAGGTGAACGGGAAAGGGGGTCTAGAATAAGGAGGGTTCACAAGCTTTTCACAGGGACGTGAAATTAAAGGAGGCTTATTAATGTAGGCGGACATTTTTATGCTGTCAGTTTGCGCGCCATCCGTCCAGGATCGGTGGGGCTTCCCACGCAGAGCGTGGGACAGTAAACGGGCCGGTCCTGGTCGAGAACTCTCCCACTACCAAACACATCCATCAGACCGAGAGAAGAACGCGGCTCGGCCCGACGCTCCAGTCGATCGGCTCGCACCGTCGAAGCGACGCCAGGTGGCCCCCTCCCCCCCGGAACGGCCATGATGGCGGCCCCATCTGTCAAAATGGACCATCGCGTCAAGAGAAATGGAGGCGAGAGCCAGGTGACCGGCGACGCTATATGCGCACAAGAATGTGCAAATAACCTATTGTGAGGGTGCGGATGTTTGCTGCTTCGCCCTAGGAACCCCGCCGCTCCGGCGCCGCCATCGCCCTAGCTGCCATCAGAAGTGCAACGCCACGTGGGAACTGGGCCAGAGGGGGACGCGTAAGGTCCGCCCAAGGCGAAAGCGGGCGGGACTTGCAGCGTCGCCGACGACGCCACGCCCGAGATCTGGCCCGGGGGCACGTTG